AACTAGATTTGCATTTCCCAAGTTAGCAAAGGTAGCAAAATAATAAGGTTTAGGTGAGATTAGGCTAAAAGAAGTTGCAGCTAGGGCTTAAAATGAACACTAACCAAGTGCTAAATGCAAGTAAAAACCAACCTTGGCGAATATATAGAACCGTGTTACTTGCCAGTTGCTTGGTAACTTCTGTTATATAAACAAAATAAAAGATATGTAAAATATTTTTATATTAATTGATTATTATTATTATTAAATACTTTACAATTCAGTAGTATTATAGCAATATTTCATTATTTTGTTTAAATTGTCTATCTTTATCTAATAATAATAATAATAATAATTGCAATTAGATGTTTCCCTATTTTTTTAATTATTTTTTTTAAGGAATACTGCACATACGGTTTCATGGCCAGTAAAAAAAGAAAGAAAGAAATACTTAAACCAGTAAATAACTAATCCATTTTCTGAAGTCACTGGCCATTGGCATGTGTGGCAAAAATGTTTTATAGCCTGGTTGCAGCACTATAAAAATCAGTAACAATTCAGTGTGCAAACAAATGCAAGAAAGAACACTGATCACAAGTCAGTATGCAAAAGTTACAGTTATTACATATTACATTACTGTAGGTTAAGGATACACTATGGTTTTTGCCCATGATTTGTAGTCTGGACAAGTCAATGCTAGTTACTGAAAGTCATAGCCAGTGTGCAGATCTTGGGCAGTGGACAGCATAGTGCATGATGGGCACAGACTCTTATGTTCTAGCTTCAGACTATGATACCATCCAGTCTGAGGATATCAACATGTTTAATATTTTGAGCCACTTTTAGAACATATACCCTATTGCAATCTGTACAGGGCACAAGGACCATGTCTACTCGCCTGACCAGCTTGTTTGACAGAGCCAACTAATGCAGACTCCTAAACATACATGTTTGTTTTCATCTGTCATAGGGCTGGACGATATGGCCAAAATTTATATCACGATATATTTCTTAATTTCGGTCAATACGATATAATTCCGATATCGATATGAACACTATTAAAAAAGCCTCATAAAAACAGCCAAGAACACCCACAACAGATGTCTGTACCTACAAACTTAAGAAAAATTAATTTGCCAACTCTATGAAACCTACTCCTATAAAACTATATAATATTTTCTGAAATAAATGGCGCAAATAAATAAATGTTCACCTTTTATTGGTATTTAGCCTTCATACAAACAAGAAATGTGAAATCACTGTCAAATAAATCTCAGACTCTACTGATTAATATTAATATTTTTTACTTCAAACTATAGGCTAACATACCAGTCAAAAGTTTTTGAACAGTAAGATTTTTAATGTTTTTTAAATGTCATCATCTGGCATCTTCTGGCAATGAGGCACATGTGTGTTGTGTTTGGAATGATTCGGAATGATGATCTGTGTACGATCTTCAGTTGTTTATTGCGTGATACCCAGTTTTTCCTTTATAACCATTTACAAGTCAGGAAGCGTATGTCTGATGCCTAGTGTTTTAAATTATGTTCAATTTTGTGTGTGTGTGTAGCGTATTCCAGCCTTTATATTCAGCAAGGTGAAAATTCTAGCAATGATTCTAGTTAAAAATTCACCACTTCATGTAATATTTGTGTTTTATGTGTCCTCATGCTTAGAGTCATTACTCAAGTCTCTTGCGCAGTTCTTTTCGTGTAGTGCATGAGCTACAGCGGTTATTGGAGTTGTCGAGCTACAATCTTGACACAATGCATAATTGAAAGATTAAGTACACATTTTGCTAAAATTGGGCTGATACAATTTTACATTAAATAGATTGTTTTAATCTTTCTGTAATCAAACTGATACTTTTAAAATGTAAAAATTTACTTTTTTTTTTACTTTAATGCATATAAATACACTCAGTGTAAGACTTTCAATTAAGACATATTAATACTTATTTGTAATTAAAACTTTTAAGTTGTTTTTTTTTCTGAAAAAGTGAATTTCACTTTATCATACTTTTGATAAAGATAAATAATATACAGCGGGTAAAATAAGTATTGAATTTTTCTCAGTAAATATATTTCTAAAGGTGCTGTTGACATGAAATTTTCACCAGATGTCGGAAACAACCCAAGTAATCCATACATACAAAGAACACAACACAAATAAGTTCAGAAATTAAGTTCTGTGTAATAAATTGGAATGACCCAGGTATTGAACACGCTTACTGAAATTTATTTAATACTTCGTACAAAAGCCTTTGTTGGTAATGACAGCTTCAAGACGCCTCCTGTATGGAGAAACTAGTCGTATGCATTGCTCAGGTGTGATTTTGGCCCATTCTTCCACACAAACAGTCTTCAAATCTTGAAGGCTCCATGGGCCTCTTCTATGAACTCTAATCTTTAGTTCTTTCCATAGATTTTCTATTTTCCATTCTAGCAGCTTTTCTTTCTTTCTCTGAAACCAAATGAGAGTTTGCTTGGCTGTGTGTTTGGGATCATTATCTCGCTGGAATGTCCACCCTCATTACATTTTCATCATCCTGGTAGATGGCAGCAGATATTTTATCAAGAATGTCTCGGTACATTTTTCCAATCATCCTTCCTTCAATTATATGAATTTTGCCAGTGCTACACCATGATGTTTTTGGGGTGATGTGCAGTGCCATTTGCCCTCCAAACATGGTGTGTATCCAAAGAGTACAATTTTTGTCTCATCTGACCAGACTATATTCTCCCAGTATTTCACAGGCTTGTCTAAATGTTGTGCAGCAAACTTTAAACGAGCTCCAACATGCTTTTTCTTCAGCAATAGAGCTTTGTGTGGTGAGCGTGCATACAGGACATGGCGGTTGAGTGCATTACTTATTGTACTTATTATTTTCTTTGAAACAATTGTACCTGCTAATTCCAGGTCTTTCTGAAGCTCTCCACAAGTGAACCTTGGCACTTGGACAACTCTTCTGATAATTGTTTTCATCAGAAGAGTTGAAATCTTGCGAGGAGCACCTGGTCGTGGCCGGTTTATAGTGAAATGAATTCTGTATTCTTTCCACTTCCGGATTGTGGGCCCAACAGTGCTCACTGGAACATTCAGAAGTATAGAAATCCTTCTGTAACCAATGCCATCAGTATGTTTTGCAACAATAATCTTGCGAAGGTCTTGAGAAAGCGCTTTGCTTTTACCCATCATGAAATGCTTCTTGTGTGACATGTTGGTCATGGGACACCTTTTTATAGGCCATCAGCTGAGACTGAACTAGCTAATATTAATTTCCACTGACAAGGGTCAGGGTTGCTTTCTAATTACTGATAGATTTCAGCTGGTGTCTTGGCTTTCCATGCCTTTTTGCACCTCCCTTTCTTCATGTGTTCAATGCTTTTTTTCCCCTGTGTCATTCTACTTTATTACACAGAACTTAATTTATTTGTTTTGGTCTCTTTGTATGTATGGATTACTTGGGTTGTTACCGTCATCTGGTGAGAATTTCATGTCAACAGAACCTTTAGAATTCTATTTACTGAGAAAAATGGTGATGTGTTCAATACTTATTTTACCCGCTGTACTTAAAACAAAAAAATACTATGTATGTATGTAAAATAATAATCATTCAGCAAACTGAATGTTTTGAATACTTAACTGCATGTTAATTGCATGATTAAATGAAAATGTATGATAGTTAAATTCTTTATTAAATTCAATTAGTTAAACATTAGAGTGCTTTTGTGACCCTCTTTAGTAAGACTTAGGTACACCTTTATGTGCAATTTCATAATTACTTCTATTAAAAAAAAAACTGCTGAATGCACTGACAAGCGTTTATAAGCTAAAATGTAGTGTACTGTCATTTCCCTTTAAACTTCAAATATCCATGTGAACTAATAACTAAGATAAACCTGAAAGTAATCAAGACAGTGAACCAATGACAAGACAGAACTGAGATCCACCTGACAAGACTACAAACCAATAAAAAACATAACACATGAACCAAAGGAAGCACATGAGAAGATCACATGTGGAGCACAATCACATGACAAAATGTGAGCTAGCAACAGGGACTGAGAGGCGGTTCAAACAGAGGACAGTTAGAAATCTTGGATGAGCTCAGAGGAGTCCCGGAGAATGAATGATATGTGGAGAAGTGTGTTTAGAGCACACCTGTCTGAATGTGTGATGGATAGAGTGTGAGAGATGAATGAGAGCAGAGGGGAAGAGGACGCTTGATGAGGTTCTGATCTGAAACGTACGGCCCGACATCAGGTCAGAGGAAGAGCAAGAAAGGAGGAATTTGTCAAGTCGACAAATGATTGTTCTGGCATCTTATCAGCTCGCCAGTCAATTTCAGCCATGGAAATACCAGAGTGAAGGGCACCTTTCTTCCAACAATCACCGTAAAATGAGCACATTTAACATTCAGAGGATTACAACAACCATTAAAGGGGAAAAAACACTTTATGCCATTATTATTCATGCAGTGCATTAAACAACTCATGTTTTATATCCATCTCAGATTATTTACTTCATAGTAAATCCATTTTTTGTATCTACAGCAAAAAAATATTAATTGCGTTCCATATGACCTCAGCGATCTGACCCATTAGAACTGCAGTGCTTTCAGTGCATTCCACTTTAGCTTTAATGTGATTGTGATGGTAATTGTGTCACCTCTTATCATCGATTAGTTATGCAAGCAAGATAAAAAAAAGCCTTTGCGTACCATTCCCCTAATCCGCAATTAAAAGCGGCGATGGGGCTGTTTGCGTTCTTCTCACCAAGGGCTGTGTGCTGCATTCCAGACCTCTCCTTTTACTGATGCCCTTGCCAAAGTCATCGTCACATGTGGAAAACCAAAAATGAAAAGTTTTATCATTCCTTTTCAACTGTCAGTCTCCCTGGTACAGCTAGAGAGCATTGAGGGGCACATCCATGACTAGATTATTGAAAGACAGTCACTGACTAATTTCTCCTTGACTTTTTATCCCACTAACTCTTATCCTCTGATCCTCTCTCTTTAGGTAATGAGCTCCTCTATCGTACCCGTGAAGGTGATGTGGTCCGCTTTAACATGGAGACCAACGAGAGTACAATCCTGGTCACAAACAGGAAGTTTGTAAGTGTTTTGTTCCAACTCTTTCTTCCACATAAAATTGTGAAACCCTTTAAAGGAAAAGTTCACCCCAAAATGAAAATTTGCTGAGCATTTACTCAACCTCAGGTCATCTAAGATGTAGATGAGTTATTTTTTTCCTCGGAAGAGATTTGGAAAAATTTAGCATTACATCACTTGCTCACCAACGGATCCTCTGCAGTGAATGGGTGCCGTCAGAATGAGAGTTGATTAAAAACATTACAATAATCCACAAGTAATCCACACAACGCCAGTCCAACACTCAACACTGTGTGAAACACAAAGTTGCATGTTTGTAATAGAATCCATCAAGATGTTTCCATCAACAGTCCAACTAAAATATGAATCCTCTATCCATAATATTACTTTCTCCAGTGAAAAAGTAGTCTCATCTGAATCAGGAGAGAAACGCACAGATCATGAACTGTTTAAAAGTGAAAACTTCTAAAAGTCTATTTTGTCCAGGATGGTGCAACTGTTCAAAGTTAAAAAGTCTTAATGATGGATTCGTTTCTTACAAACATGCAGCTTTTCACTTTACAAGACATTAATTGATGGACTATAGTCATGTGGATTCCTTGTGGATTAGCACGTGATGTAATGCTAAATTTCTCCAGTTCTGTTTCGATGAAGAAGCAAACTCGGTAACACTTTCTATGAAGCCCGTATTTATAATACATTATAAGGGTATTCTTAAGGCATTATAATGAATGCATAATGCATTATAAAAAAACGTATAATATGTTATATCAACTCAGGAATAATCATAACAACAGTTATAATACATCATAATACTTACGTATTTGTGGTTATAAGTTTAAAGCTAATGTTAATTAATTGATGTGAACTTTATACTCCAACTGAAAAAAAATGTAATGTTTTATATGGTTACATTTTATTTTGATGGTCCCCTTAATCAATCGACTATAAGCAACTTTGCAACTACATGCCAACTAACTCTCATTAGAGTATTAGTATGCTCAAGAATGGTAGAATCTAGTATGGTAGAATAAGCTGATGTACTTGCAAAGACACTTATAGTCAGTTTATCTGTTGGTTGACCATCAAAATAAAGTGTTAGCAAATATTTACATCAGCAGACATACTAATACTCTAATGACTGCTAGTTGATATGTAGTTGCAGAGTTACTTATCAACAGCTGTTTAAAGGGTACCATCAAAATAATCAAACTGATATTACAATAAAAATAGCTCAAAGCAAATGTGTCATATTACACATTCATCTGATCTGATATCTGATCTTATGGCTGTATGAGAGAAAAAAATGTTGTTGTTATTATTATTATTACTACTTATAAGTGGTCTTTGACCAGCAACTTTGCAACTACATGCCAACTAACTCTCATTAGAGTATTAGTATGCTCAAGAATGGTAGAATCTAGTATGGTAGAATAAGCTGATGTACTTGCAAAGACACTTATAGTCAGTTTATCTGTTGGTTGACCATCAAAATAAAGTGTTAGCAAATATTTACATCAGCAGACATACTAATACTCTAATGACTGCTAGTTGATATGTAGTTGCAGAGTTACTTATCAACAGCTGTTTAAAGGGTACCATCAAAATAATCAAACTGATATTACAATAAAAATAGCTCAAAGCAAATGTGTCATATTACACATTCATCTGATCTGATATCTGATCTTATGGCTGTTTGAGAGAAAAAATGTTATTATTATTATTATTACTAATAAGTGGTCTTTGACCGCTTTAAGTAAAGTAGCATAAGAAAATGGCAAGATATGAGACCTATAATAGATTATAACTATGAGAAATATAATATACTGTAAAAGTGGATGCAACGTGTTAATTGTGTTATAAATCATCATACTCTTAAAAGCTATAACCACAAATAAGTAAATATTATAATATATTAAAACTGTTCTTATGAATATTCATGAGATGATACAACATATTATAAGTTTTTTT